CCCCCGCCACTAATCTGCCCGTGCATGCAGCCTCCACCTGCTGAGCCAGCGGAAGCCGTGCTCAGCCAGCCCCAGCCAGCGCCAGGGTTCTGAAACCCACTCTGGCTGCAGAGCCTGTAAGGTGGCAAAGCCTTTGCACCTTGGTCCTGCTGCCGTGGGAAATCCCAACCCTGCTTGGCACCAGGCAGCGAGGAGTCTCCAGGCAGCATCATCTGGCACCAGGAGAGCTGAGCTATCAAGGTAAGGGTAGGGTGCTGGCAGGGAGGTGACCAGAGTAAGCACGGTCCCTGCTGTGCCTTGTTCTGCCGGGCACCAAGGAGAGGGTCTGGTTCCAGCCTCCCCCATTTTGCCGGCTCGGCAGTCCTGCTGCAAGGTCACCCTGCAGCCGGGAGCTTGTGCTGAGCTCTGGGGCCGTCACACACTGAGGGACCCCAAACCAGGGTCCAGAGCTGCAAGGAGAGTTAGGAGCCTGACCCTGGCGCAGGGGGGAGTGAAAGCGGGGAGCAGCAGTGGAGGGGCTGGCTGCCGGCACCCTGTCCTCCTTGCCTAGGCAACAGGACAGCACGGCTATGCCCCCCTCCCAGGACAGTAGGGCCAGCCGTCTGTTCCAGGAAGAGGGGAGACATTGGGAAAAGCCAGAGCACTGGACAGTCCTGTGCCAGAGCTACGGTAGCGGGGCGACCCCAGCAGCCTCCCGTTCATCAGGTGCGGCCGATGCAGCTGGGGGGGGGGGGAGGGCCGGGTCAAAACGGGGTGCGAGGGGTGGGAGCACCGGGCTGCAGTCCGGCGGCCCCGTAGCCGAGGGCTGTCCCAGCCCGCCCGCTCGGTGCCCTTGGCGAGGCGGGAAGCGCTAGGACCCGGCCTACCGCGGCCGGCAGTGCTGGCACCGGGCGCTCCGGGACGGGACCGTGCCCTGCAGGCGGTGGCGCCACGGGAAGGAGCCGGCAGCCCCCGGGAAAACGTGTAAGCGACGCGGCGGTGCCCCGGCTGCCTCGGATGCGGGTGGGTTCTGGGGCGGAGCGGGACCCCCGGCAGCGGCAGCGCTTGGGGAAGTCCGGCAGCCGTCCCGCGGCCGTGCGGAGCGGCCGGGGATGTGGAGACTGCCGGCTGTCCGACCGGAGCTCCGAGCCCGGCACGCTCGGCCCCGCTCCTGCCTGCTGGGTGCTGCTGCCTTTCCTTCCCCTCCCTCTACGCGACCGCCGCGGGGTCGGCCAGGGAGCCTGTCCCCGGTACACGGGACCACGGGGCAAGAAACGCTTCCCCTTTCGCCATCCCCCGGAACAGACAGCTGCGAACGGTATTTGGTTACCCTGCCCGTGGGAATGTCACCCGAGTACGGGCACGGCCGCCGCTTACTGGCTCCCTCACCTTCCTGTGTTAGTCCCAGCCTTCTCTGAGTGCTGGCTCCCTCCCTGCCCCGCCAGTCACGTGTTCCTGTATGGCCCCGGCGATGCCTGCACCACAGTGAACACTTCCAGCGAGCCCTCCAAGTTCTGGGGGTTCCTGGGGCTGTGCCACCACTCACTTCCCTGCCAGAAATTCTTCTACAACCCCATTCGCCTCTCGCAGGCCCTTTGTCCCAGTAGCTGGGCATTCTCCCATGACCCTTTCTATTTGTAGACTGACTACTGGGAGCTTGCCCTCCCCATTTGCACCATTCCCCATGCAGGTCCTTTTTCCCCAGGCGCCATTCCCTGGCTGCCCTCGGTGTGATTTGGCCCAGCGCAGAGGTCCTCGCTGCATTCTGAGTCTAAGGCATGGCCCGAGGCTTGTTTGCACCAGCCTGACCTCGCGTGCAGGCGGAAGAGAGGTGAAGGTACAGGCAGAGCAGGGTTTGTAGCACGGCCCTTGACCCAAATAAGTCCAAGTCAGTGGTGCCTCTCAAGGTCAGGGCACTGCTCTGCTGCCCCAGTAAAGGTCTTAGTACAAGAGGTGAGAAAACAGGGTCTCCACTGCTGCTTTTTGTCCTTATCCCTCCAGTGTCCTGGTGCTGTCCTGAGAAGGGAGCGGGTGCTGTAGGGGCTGAAATGGATCAGAAAATGTAGGGAGTGACGGAAGCTGGTACAGCTGTGCGGTAAGAAACAGTGAAATTTATCTGTCATGGTCCTCAGGCTTATGCAGGGAAGGTGATGGAGGATGTGGTGGAGGAGCACCAGCTGTGCTGCCCTGTTTTCTGCAAGAGGTCCTGCCATTCCCTACCAGGAATGTCCAGAGCATCCCTGAAGGCAAGCTGGAGGTCACTGAGACCAGCAGGATGGGAGATACTGCGCAGCAATGGCTCCATCAGAGCAGGCAGTCCTCTCCTGAGCAACCAGCAACAAGACCCTCCGGGTCTCTCCAGAAAGCTAGATTTTTGTGGAGCTCTTTTCCTTCTTGAGAAGCCTGCTTTTTTGCTGGGAACCCAGCACCTCCATGACTGCAGATGCAAAGCAGGGCCAGCACCAGCACTGCTGGACACTGCATAGCAGCTCAGCTCTGCTGTAAAGCTTCCCAATTCTACTATCCTAGGACACAGCACTAGCAAAAGTCAGGTGAGACTTTCCCGCCTGCTTGCATCCTCTGGAGATGGCAGATCCTGTGCGGAGAGCAGAGAAGACAGGGTTTTTGATGTCTCCCTAGAAGAGGGATTTTTGTTTTGGGATCTTCCCATTGTGGGAAGTCAGCCACCACTGTTGTCTGGCCTGCTTTTGTCATCTGGCTTGCCAGAAAAGAGATTTACTGTGTCTGGGTGTGCTGGTAAACCTAAACCACTACACTGGGCAGCAGTATTAGAAGAGCAGGATGCTTCCCCGGAGATTGAGTCCCTATCAGCTGAGTACATATAGATGTACAGAGTAAGTCTGAGTCCCTGGGAGGGTGGTGCCAGGAGCCCCTCTTGTCCCTGAGACATTGCGTGTGTGGCACAAGGGTGCTTCTGGATGCCTCACAGCCCAGGACTAAGGAGAGAAGCAGGCAAGCTGCCTTTTGAGAAGTAACCTATGCTGAGGAGGTGCACTTCAAGCCTTTTCCCATCCCATCCCTGTGTACCTTGGGGTTCTCAGAGACTTCTTCCTCTGTGGCCTGCAGCTGAGCACCAAGCACAGCCCTACAAGACAGTTACCGTGTTAAGGGTGACTGTCCCAGTCTTCTGTCCTCATGTGATACATCCTGACCCTGAAATCCTCTTCCTAACACTATCCCTGCCCTTTTGTGCAGTGTTACCTACAGGCAAATTCTGTTTCTTTAAACCACCTTCAAACAAAAAGCTCCTGCTTCTGCCATCAGACTTCCCTGCTTACTCCCAGATTTCCTGGCTCCCACTCATCCCCAGTCCTCCAATGGGTTAACACACAGCAAGCACAAGCCCACGGTTCGGGGTGCCCTGTCCCACTTTGTGCACTTGGCTCCCGGTGCCGTTTATTCCCCCATCTCCCTGCTGCCGCTCACTGCCTCCTCATCCTCACGGTGACCCCAGTGCCCGGGGCCTTGCCTACCCTTCCCTAAACCCCTTTACCGAGGGGTGGCTTGGGATGTCTCCCCACCCTGGAATTCCAGACCCTCTCCCACCAGCCACCAGCTCGCCACGCTGCTTCCCCACCCTGGCTCCCGCATTCCGCGGAGCCGCTTAACCCCGCGCCCGGCTAATTCCTTCCCCGTGCGCTCCCCGTGCTCGCGGTGACGCCGGGCCGGGCCCGCCGCTGCCGCTGCGCCCCTCGCGGCCGCCAGGGGGCAGCGCCGGCCCGTGCCCCGCCCAGGCGCTTGGGGGCGCCGGGCCGGGCCGTCCCCGGAGCCCCTCGGGGCCGGGCAGCTCTGCAGAGGGGGTGGCAGGCGACTACAGGCCGCTGCCTCCCCGTCGGGGACTGGCGAACTCCGCCGCGCACCCCCGGCAGCGTGGCCGCGGGGCACTGGGCTCCCAGCGCCCCTCGTGTGAGGGGTGTAGGACCCCCCGAGAGTTCCCTTCTCCCTGGTGCGTGTTAGAGCATCCTCTGCCCACCGGTGGACACTCGGCTTTGCAGGGGGGCTGAGGAAGGGGTGGAGGGCCGTCCTAGTAATGCCCTGGCAGCTGGGCTGGTCATGGGTTTGGCCTGCCCTTCTTTTGATGTCCCATGGTTGTGCTCCACTGGGTGGCCTGGGGGCCTCGTTTCAGCTTGGGAACCTGCGGAAGTATGACTGGCAAGGAGAAGAAATTATGAACGGCTTGTACTGTTGGAAGTTGTGGGAAAGGGCTCTCCTGGAGACCTTCCTGGGGGATGTTTAGGAGCATTCAGCCACAGCTCCGCTGCTGATTTGCCCAAAGGGGAAAGCATGACTGGATGGACTTAGTTTCCAGGCAGGATTTAGTCAGCCGTGCCAGATATTTACACAGAGTGAAATTCCTCCACACCAGCCAGAAACTGTTGGGCCAGGCACAGACAAGGACTGGCGTGGCTGTGAGAGCTCCTGGACCTGTGTTTGGAGCCCTTGTCTGTGCATGGTCTCATGCCGTAGTCCCCATGGTGCCAGTGACCACAGGGACTGCCCAGGGAGCAGGCTGGGTTGGCATGCTGTTAGGCATCTTAGCCCTGCCCTGCAGGAAGGGCAGACTCTGGCTGCAGCAGACTCCCAGAGAGCTGGAGAGCTAGAGCATGGCCCTGTCTGCTGCCACCAAGGTGCCTTGGGAAGGCTGATGGAGAGCCATTGCTTCAGGCTATTCTCCAGAGCTGGCATTCACTCATCCTACAGAAAGCCACCTTCTGTCTTTTAGATGGTTCTTGGAGACCCTGCGAGTTGCTGGGCACCTTGCTCCACTGGGGTGTGGATGGACTTTGTCGAGGGGGGAATGGGACCTCATAGCAGCTGCCACCCTCTTCCTCTTGCCAGGTTCCCTGGTTCCCAGTAGCCCACAGCTCCCCTGTGGTGTTTTACAAGTGTGGCTGAGTGCCAGCCAACTTCTTCCTTAATGGCTGTGCTCCATCCTGGGAGGCTGGTGATGCCAGCTAAGGAGGAGGATGTGCCTCGGGCACTGCTTCAATGGGCCAAATGACCTTGGCTATAGTGTGGCTCCTTCTGCCAGCACCAGCTCCAGCTTCAGCCAAGGAGACCTGGAGTGACACCATTCGGGTGCTTGGAGTGGTCTGTGCCCCAGGGCTACCTTTTCTGAATGCCACAGGGTGTTCCTGCCCGCCACTGAGCCAGGGGTTAACCCTGTCTCCTCTGGTACAAGTGGGACCTGAACTGTGTGTCTTGAGTTTATCCAAGCCTCAGCTTGGGCCCTGGCAGGTACCTGACTGCCTACAGTGAAGTGACATTTCACCCTTGGCTGGTGGCAGTACAGCCAAGTAACTCAGTAACCAGCACCCAGCAGCTCAGCTGCTAATTTGTGCCATTAGTCAATATTTACTCCCTTAATGCTTGTAGGAGAAAGCAAATGGGCAGCTGGAGCTCAGGAGAGGGCAGCAGCAGTGCAGGGAGGGAGGCAGAGGGATGGGGATGGATGAGGGAGGGATTGCTCGTGGAAGGATTGTACCCAGGAGGTGGTGAGGATGGGAGACCCTCAGACGTGCTTTGGGCAGAGGGGCTTGTGTCCCCCAGCCTGACAGGAGGGAGATGCCCTGTGTCCAAAAGATGCTGCTGTTCCACTGGGGCAGGCTGTCCCCACCTCCAGCAGCCTGAAAGGGGGCTGGAGCTTGACTGGACCCCACTGTCCATCCCAGGTCCCATGAGCCCTGTGGGCACCATAGACCCCTTGCTGAGCTGTGACCAATCAGTGGACAATGGGATTTGTTTCTGCTTGCCCAGCTGGAAAACACCCTGCCACTGCCACTGCCACTGGGCTGGAGGCGTGTGGAGGCCCTTCCCTGTCATGTCTCTAGGCCATTTGCTCACCAGGGCTTTGAGTGCTTCAGGGGTAGTGGTATCACCACATTGCATGTCAGTGCTACCAGCCAAGGGGGATGCTTAGCATGGGGAAGTGGTGGAGCTGATTGGCAGCAAGGGCATCCCTCACCCTGCCTTTCCTTGCAGGGTTTCACCCAGGGCTGCTCTGCTGCCCTCAGCCCACTAGCGAAGAAGTCACAAGGCCTGACTTTATCCCTGCAGGTCGAGTTGTGCAAGGAAGCAGAGGGACAGCAGGATGCTGGCGATCTGTGTAGCTCCCTGCAAGCGGTGATGTGCCAGCTGGATCTCTGTGCCACAGGCGGCATTCAGGAGGATATTGCAGCTCACTCCTTCCCCACCTCGTCCCAGCAAGGCTCAGGCCATCAGGTGAGCAAGATCTCTGCCCTACCATCTCATCCCAAAATACAGGGCAGGGCATCAAGAGCCCAGGGATCACCATCAGGAGTCCTGCAAGCAATGACTGGAGATCTACCACCCCAAAAAGAGTCTGCCAGCAGCTCTTCAGCCAGGACCCCACTCCAGGGTCAGTGAGGACCAGCAAGGGAATAGCAAAACTAAAATAATCGGTCCCCCAGCCATTTGCTGACCTCAGCAACAGGCTGAGATGCTTTGTTGACTATCAAAGCATCCACAATCACTGTAGTCTTGTAATAACTGGATTCCCAGGAGCCTGGAGTAGATTTTTTTGCCCCTACTGACTAATAGATTAATAACCTGCTGGCACTTGACAGAGGTTCAGCATCTTCTGTGTTTCCCTCCATGCAACTGATTAAAAGTTGCCTTTTCCCACTTTCCCCATACAGCTGCCTTGTCGCACTTGCAGGCAGTTGGATACAGCTGCTAATCTGCTTGCCATTCTATTCCTGGCCTGCCTGCTCTGCCTTTTGGACATACTGGCTCTCTTTCTCTGCTCTGTGGAGAACCAAAGGACCAGCACAGAGGCTTTATGAGCTGACCTGCCCATGCCTTCCTCTGGAATGGGGCAGGCAGCAGCCAATGGAGGGAAACGCAGTCAGTGTGGGTCATGCTTGTAAAGGGAAGAGTGGTTTTGCAATGAAAAGGAGAACTGGATGGCATGCAGACCCCTGGCCTCAGCTCTGCTGCAGGCTGATGGTCTTGCCATGCCTCAGTTTACCCTGTCCCTAGGACAGGCACATTACAGGGAAAGGGAAATCTTATTGCAGAGGAGGGCTGGTGGGTTAATTAATGTATGGATGCAAAGTGCTTGCAAATCTCCAAGGAAAACGATTGATGTGGGTGCCAAGCGTAAAGGATTCTGGAAGCATTAACTGCCTGCAAATGCTGCCTAGCTCCTCAGGCCCTAAAACTCATATATTGCCCAAAAGGCACCAAAAATATTCCTTTAGCTCCTATGGTGCAGTACCCACTGCCTGGAATAAATCTCCCATTTTGCTCTTGCTTTCCAAACCAGCTGTTTGTTTGCTTTCCCCTTTTGGATTTCACAGCTTTAGTTAAAGCAGGGAATTGCTACAAGAGAGGAGGGGGGAGAAAAAAAGCTGCTTTTGTGAAAGGTTTGGCAGCAAGTGTCACTGAATGGAAAGCACTTTGCCTGTTTGTTATGCCTGTTACAAACTAGCTATGAGCAGAACGTACAAATTGGGCTCCAGGTGACGGCATGCCTGCAGTGCATGTTCGAGTTTTCAGAAAGAAAACTCAAAGGGCTGGGCAGCTTCAGCTCCACCAGCATCTTCTGAGAAGCATGTCCATGGAACTCCCAGCCTTATGTAAGGCAGAGGCTTTGCTGGCTTCCTCCCTTGCCTTCTCCCTTTTGCTCTGGGGAGTGCAGCAATCTGCCAACAGCCACAGCGTGTTTTGGCACTGTGCTGCTGCTTTGGGGATGGAGAGGATGGGAATGCAAGCAAGCCCCCGGGGCCCACTCAAGGCTGTGTTTTCTCTTTGCCCAAGTTACATAGGGGAGAAACATCTAGCTCTGTGGGTCTGTAGCTCATACAGTGGTGGGCCCAGTACCAGTGCTGGGCAAAGCACAGCTGTTTCCATTTCAGGCAGAGACTGTTTTCATAGCTGTTTGCTTTTTCTAGAGGGTTTGTTATTGTACATGCAGAGGTGAAGATGATAACATGAGAGTCACTTGGGAGCAGAGAGTTCTTTGAACACAACACCTTTGCCAAGATGAAGCAAGGCCACTTGGTCCTGCAGCAAGGGTTTGTGTTTGTGAATAATACAAGTTAATGTTTGGGGCAATAAATGAGTTGTTATTGGCTGTGCAATTTGTTACCATCCCATGCACCATAGAGGAGGTGTCACCCCTCTGAAACTGCATGCTGCCATTGACATTACACAACCCAAGGAACTGCATCGCTCTTGGGAGCAGCCATGTTCCCTGAGGGGCTGAAGTGCCTCTACAGAGAACAGAAGTTTGAGCTAAATGTCTCCTGTCCTGCAGCAGCCAGGGCTGGATTTTAAAGGACACTCACTCTGTCCCAGACTTAGCCTTCTTCACCCCATGGTGTCTTGCTCGCTACAGGTCTTCTGCCTGCACAAGAGAAGACATCGTTGTGTGCTGTCCTGCAAGCTGGTGATGGGTGGGTGCACAGGTCTGTGCAAGGAGGCAGCCAGCAGCCAGCAGTCAGTGCTGTGCTGAGGAGCTGGAAGCTGCCTTTCCCTGTGTCTCCCCTTGGGTCTATCTGCTGGCCTTCTGTCTGCCTGCGGTCACCAGTGGCTGGGACGCTGTTCAGCGCTAATGGATTTCAAATCCCCCATCTCCAGTGACAGGCATCTCTACTGAGAGATGTTTGATTCCAGCGATTGGGGGTGTGGCTGTGCAGACAGGACCAGAGCTGCAAATTAGAGAATATTTAATCCTGTACTTTGGTGATGGTAAGTGCTATGCACCCTGCTGCTGAAAGCCTGGGGTGAGGCAGGGGCTACACCTGCCCTGTCCTGAAGGAGAAACTTCCTGGAATATCCATTCAAAGGTAAGTTCTATGGTGTTTCTCCTCCTGATGGGGTCTGAGGTTATAATAGTTGTGGCTGAGAGCCTTGTCTTGGCTTCTAAAAGTGTCAGTTTGAGTGGGCAGCACCAGTCTGGACCCTGTGCTCAAGTTCCTGGGGGAATTGGTTCTCACAGCTTTTAGTCTGTGCTAAAGTTGGAGCTTTTTTAGAAAAATAAAATTGTAGAGATGCTCAAATTTTATCTCATGCTGCTGAGCAGCAAGTGTGGGTATCACAAGGAGAAACACAGCATCCAAGCTGCTGTGGCATCCGTGTTCCAGGGACTACCAAAGGGGCTTGTGGGGCTCTGTGGGTGACAAAATGGCACATCTCAAAGAGGGAGAGGGAAGGTATTGTCTGTGTTGCAGCTTACCCAGAAGACCTTCCAGATCAGAACGGCTTACAGAAAGGGGGCTGAGGAAAGGCAGGCCAAAGGCTTGCATCTGTCATTGCCTGGAAGATGCAGCCTGAGAGCTTTAATTGGAGATGAGAGCTTTTAAATTTAATTTGATCTGATATAGATCTTAAATTTAAGAAAAGAGCCTCCTGTCTTACTATCTGGCAGCACTGTCTGCTGCTCTCCTCATGTTGTTAGTGTACCCTACTATCTGACCCCAGAAGCCCATAACCATGATGAATATCTAGGGCCAGTGCAGAGGGAGAGATCTAGCTCTAAATTATGGCTCTAAATGGAGTGTGAACTGGCCCCTAGTTTGATAGGTTCCTCACTTGTCCCCCATGCTGCATTCTAGGAGGCTGCTAGTGAGGTCTTTTCCTCAGGGTGACACTCTGCAGTGTCATTGTTGCAGATTAGAAAGCACCTGTAGCTGTCCCAGCCCTGTTACCACTGTCTTTTTCTTGGGCTTTGAGGACTTTTGCTTACGTGGCAATGTTATGTAGGTCTGTCTTGAAACAAGCTTGGTGCTTGGATTCTGCAGGAAGATGTGTGTTAGAGATCATCTTGCTGAGAGAGCGTGAGAATGAGAATCTGCCAGAGCTTTTGGGGGTGTTTTAACTTCTGGTTTTAATTTTTAACCCAAACTGATCACCATCTGCAGAGAATTTTCTGAGGCTGTTTATTAATGGAACAAATGTTTTAATGGTCAAAGCTGCTGCAGGGAGTTTCTGGTGCCACTGCCTGTGCCTGCAGAGTACAGTGTATGGAGAAAGCCAGGAGGGCCCTGTTTTCCTTTAAACACCTAGCTACATAAAAAAATATTTATGTGACTGTTTAACCACAGGGATATAAGGTTAAATTCAGGTGCACTCCCCCTTGCTGGGGGACAAAGTACCTGAGGATTCCTCCACGTTTGCACTTCAGCTGAGCAACAGGCTTTTATCACAGCGGAGCAGATATCAATTCTGGAGAGATAGGAACCTGGAGGTGGCAGCTGGAAAAAACTACTCTTAGAGTTTGTGCCTGCCCTTTGGATACTGAATACAGACCGTACTTATATCCTCCGAACACAGGGGAATCGCTAAGCTTCACAGGGCTCTACACATTGCCTGCCATCCTGGGTAGCACCACCACGAATACACAGTGCAAAAAGCTGTCTTTAATCCTCTCTGTGACTTACAGAATCATAATGGTTTGGGTTGAAAGGGACCTTAAGGATCATTAAGGGATGACATAGGCAGGGATGACAGCCACTAGTTCACTAACTCAAGAAAGTTTTATATATATATATATATACTTATATATGTGTGTGTGTGTGTATGTGTGTATACACATGCATATGTATATTTGTGTGTACACCCATGTATATATATATTACACCCTTATGTGGTGACTGCCAGCAGAGTGTTTTTGCCTGAATTAGAATGCAGCATGGGGGACAAGTGAGGAACCTATCAAACTAGGGGCCAGTTCACACTCCATTTAGAGCCATAATTTAACGCATAGCTCCCTTTAGAGCTATAATATCTACTAATGCATGGACATAAACGGAAACCCGGCGCTGGGTGCGGCTCCGGCTTTAGGGCTTGCTTTGCTTTCCTTCCCCCAAGAAGTAGGCGGCCCGGGGGCCGGGGGGGTTTCCCGCCAGATGCGGGGCGTGGAGATGCGGTAGGCGCGGAAATGGGGGGAGCCAGGGGCAGGCGGACGCGGGGAAGGGACGGCGGCAGGACGCGGGGCGGCGCGGAGAGCGCGGCGCAGGTGGGTTCGCCCCGAGGTGCGCACGGCTGCCCGCGGAGGGGTGGCAGCTCCTCTTACCCCTTTTCTGCCGGGGGAACGCGAAACGGGCGGGAAGCGGGAAAACCCGCCGCCTCTCCCACGCGGGAACCGCGTGGCACTGAAGGCGGCAAGAGGCGGAGTTTAGAGAGCGGGACGGAGGCGGCGGGTTCCCATCCGCACCGGGGAGAGAAGGAGCCCGAGCCGGCAGGCAGCGGTGGGCGCTCGCGTTCGAGGTACTGGCTCAAAGTCGCCGAGCTTTTGGCCACCCCGGCTCCTTCCGAAGCTCCGCGCGGCGTTTCAAAGCTGCCGGGAGCGTGGGGAACCCCCAGAGGGAGCCGTGGGATACCCCAAGCTCAGAATTCGGCGCCACAGCACGGGGAGGGGCGGCGTGCGAGTCGCGGCTTGGGGGACCGGGCGGCGGGGGTGTGATGCATAGATGCTGCTTTTCGGGGGCGGGGGGGGGAGTGGTCTTCCTTACTACCTGCACGGCAACTGTAATTCCACTTTCGTAGTTACTGCTGGGGGGAGAGCGTGTGGTTTTGGGGATGCGAAGCGGCGCGGCCAGCACGTGGCTCTGGGGATGCAAAGCTCAGTGATGCTCTGCTACCTGGGATGCAGGACTTCACCGAGGGGTTTGTGCCGCGGTCCTCCGGCTGCAGAGGTGGACATCCCTGCCGAGCAGTGGCGCGTGTGTACGGCAGTGTCTGCCGGCATGCCTCAGCTGGCGGGTGTGGTGGGGACCCGCTGGCAGGTGCGTGGGCAGGGTGCCATGTGCTGCTCTGCGAGAAGTGCGGCAGAGCCCCCTTGGCTGGCAGAAAAACAGCTGGGTCAGGGTTGCTCCAGGTCCTGCTTAAGAAAATGCTCCCAGCTGGCTGTGGGATGTTGATGATTTCAATGAGCGTTTCTTTGCATTCCTGAGTAAACCATCAGCGTTAATGGACAGCCTGGTCCAGGCAGAAGTGCCAAGAGCTCCTGTAGAGCCCTTTTGTGCTGTCCTCCTTACCCCTGTAGTTAAATCTGAGCCTTGCACCCCTGCTAGATGCTAATACTGCCAGACCAACACAGTCCTTGTCTGTACTCTCCAGCACTCCCATCCGCCTCTCAGGAATGGGCTATGGAATTGCAGACTGTGTGGGAAGGCAATACCGGCTAAGCCCTTGAGCTGTGGGATCACACACAAGTAAAGCCTGTGTCCTTGATCCCAGGGGTAGGGGCTGCAGGAGGAATTTGTGCAGCTGTTTGCCACAGCTGGATGCACTTTCTGAAACAGAAAACAGCCCAATGGCCCCTCAGTTGCCTGTTGTGAGCAGACAGAGTTGAGGGACTTCTGTGAGTGCCGACATGAGAAATCCCACTCCTTCTGCACTGCATCCCACCTTGGTGGCATTGTTTCCGCTTACCAGCACCTGTAAGCTGCTGGACAGCCTCAGGCTCCCTCGAGCCTACCTTCTCTACAAAGCTATCTCAGGATGTGAATGTGCAGGGATGTTTTTCCTTTGGTTCACTGGTTGTCTTCATGCAGCTCGTGGACCATTGATAGTGTCAGTCCAGTGCTGGCACCACACATATGCCCTCCAAAGCACTCCTGCTCCTGCCATTGTTTTTTGCTCCTGGAAAAGACAGGTAGGCTCGCTCTTTGGCTCACCAAAAAGATTTTCACAGAACAAAGGCACTTTCTTTTTGGGACCAAGGGCTGTAACATCAGCCCCAGAAGATGCTTTGCAGGATGACTTGTCCCTCCACAATTAGTGCAGACAAGAGGTGGAGGCTGTACCAGATACCTGGAGTGAGAAGGCTGAAGAAATTCACTTCAGCTTAAATCAGCAGATGTGTCACCAGCACACAGGGCAGTATGGCACCTCCATCCTGTAGTTGTCCCTCTGCTCCATTCCTCCCCAAGCTGCATAATTAACTACTGGCATCAATTCCCCAGCATGGCATCCCTGCTCTCATTATCTTGGGCTGGGAGGTGTTAATGAGCCTCTTCCTCTTTGAAGATGAGCCATGGGCTTTGTTGTTGCCCTGGCCTGACCTGTGTTATTCCTTGTTGTGGTATGGGTGTAAGCCAGGTTGCAGAGGACAAGGCACCCATTCACCCACTCCCATGCTGCACCTTCTTCACTGCCCAGCTTCATTCCCCGTTCTCCTGGCAGAGGCAGGCAGGGCTTAGGGACCAGCCCATTGGGATAGAGGGAGCCCAGGATCACCTGTGCCCTGTCCAAATGGGAAGGCACCACCACTGACTTTAGGAAGCCAGCAAACAGCTTCTGGTGGTTTCCATGGGATACATGTAAATCTTGGTTGTTTTTGTTCAGTGTAACGTCCAGGACCTTGGCAAGTGTTACGGAAGCTGCAACGCCTGCTCTCATCCACCGAATTCTGTTTGTTTGCCAGCACCGTACTGACCCCACAGTGTAAACCTTGCTTACCTCCCTGTGCCTTCATGAGCCTTCCCAACATCGAGAGCTCTGTCCTGAGACCCCTGCCAGCCCTGCACCACACTGCTTGGGGCTGCAGGACTGTCAGCTCTCAGTCTCATCTCCATGCTAACTCATACAGCTGCTAACAAGATGAGGCCCAAAGCACTACACAAAAGGAGCTACAAGCATTTGCAACTGGGAAGGAGTCAGGGTTTTACCAGCCACACAGCTATTTTTATTTGATTGAGCAGTCCTATAAAGACTAATTACTTCTTAGGTTAAGAGTGTGCAAGATGTCGGCTGGGGAAAGAAGTGTGCAGATTAGGGGCAGAGGCTGGGTAGGTTTGGTTACATCGGGGTGTGTGGTCTGGAGGGTCTCGGTGCCCCAGCT